GGTGCTGGGGGGCGGGGGAGGGGGGGGTGAGCCGAGGCACACACGTCACTTGTCATCTTGACTGTGGCGGTTATGAATATTAAAATCTTCACGTCGTCGGGCTGACGTTGACGTATAAAAAGCAAACACGGGTGGGAAAAAAAGAGGTTGACAGGTGCGGTCATTTGCTGCTTTCACCCCCAGAAAGAAAGAAAAAGAATCCTTCAAATTAACATTTTTGCCATGGCACGTATGTGTGAAAATGACACGACGCTAGTTAGCAACGAGGCTAATGTTAGCGATGCTCGTTCGCGAGCAGGTGTCTGTTTATCATTTAATTGCTGAAAATATTTCCCCGACCCTCAATCTTTTTAATAAAAGCGGTTCCGAAAAGGTAACGAAAGGTGCTCATACCTCTATTTCTAACCGAGCCGAAGACGGGGAGAACCAGATATCCGACATGGACCAACACCATCCTGCGTCCTCCTTTGTTGAGCCGAGGCAGACAGATGGTCCATAGAAGTGATCCCCTCCAGTCGCCCCCCTCTGCTTGAACGTGAGGTTCACGCGAACGTACGCAGACCCCCACCCCGAAAAAGAAAACACGTCAACCAATCACCAGACCCAGCACAGGAGCAAGACCCGAATCACTACACCGCCCCTCTTTGGGCTTTTTCAAACGGCTGCTAATATGGACACTCTGTGTGGTACTCGGTTAACGACGAAGTTCCGTTCCTACACTGGCGACGTAAGCCGAATTTACGCTAACACAGTGGAAAGATGATTACAGTTAATATTTGCATGGAAAAAGCAGTCGTTGGCCCTCAGAAAAATATACGAATTTCATCACGAATATAACTTTTTAAAATAGAAAACTTTTTTGGGTATAAAGATTTATTTTCCAATATATGACTGTAAAAAAAAATCTTTTTTTTTTTTTTTTACAAAGAAATAATGCTTTTTTTCCCCCTAAAAAAACCCAAAACAAAACAAAACAAACAAACAAAAAACCCGACTGTACTGGTAACATTTTAATTTGAATCTCTGAACTAAACATTTTTATTTTGAAAATGTACCACCAACACTATGCTCGGAAATGTACAACTTTTGTTTTGTGTTTTTTGCATATTGCGACTTCAGGCTCCAAAACAGGGCGCCAAACAAACTTTTTTTTTTTTTACTAGGAGCCAGAGGCATGAAGAGGGCAGGGTGGGGGCCCTGGACATCACCTGAGGGAAGGGGCATGTGGCTAACTGCATTGTGGCCACACCCCACCGCCCCCAAGGGAAGACCAACATTTTCAATGTTAGTCCCTCCTCGGGGCATCCAGGTTCCCCGATGGAAATTAGCAATGATCGTCCGTCAGCGCTGAAAAGTTTGTCTCGTATAACGGGCATTTGCTTCTCACAGGGGGCATTAAAAACTTGCCCTTGGCACCCACAAAGACAGTGAAGACAGTCATCAAGTACACAAAAAAATGGCACAACAGTGACATGACAAAAAAAAAACAGACTCTCTCCAAAATTGATGAAAAGATGCCGAAAGCACCATTGAAGGAGCGGCAAGAAATTCAAGTACAGGCATTGATGCCTGGCAATTTATCTCAGTTTACTTTTACTCCCCTCCCCACTTTTTTTTTAAATAATTGAGTTGTACAAATAATTATGGTAATTAAAGGATGAAAAAGTTTTTAAATTATCTTGCCTTCATGTTTTTTTACATCACAAAAAAACAGAAATTGGAACAGGGGTGTGTAGATTTTATTTAGATATCCAATGTAAACCATATCAATTGCGTTTCATCATGTTCGACTACCCAGGGATGACTTGACAAATCTCACAACAAACCTTGCCTTGAGTTGTGAGCCTGGGGGCTGAGGGAGCAGATGGGCTCGGGAGAGCAAGAGGGGGTCACTAAAGTCTGTCCCATATGTCGTCTCCTTACACTTCCCACCGTCTCTCACGTCCAGTCTGCAGTGCACCAAACAAAGAAGTCGCGCACACAGACATCCAGTATAATGGATCGCTGTAAGTGCAGCTCTCAAAACACGACTCCCGATTCACTGCTCTAGGACACACAATACTGCCAAACTACTCGCGTAAATGTACACGTCTTCTCTTTTTAATGCACAAAACTAGATTCATGTCATATATGTGAGTAGATCACAGCAACTTGTGAGTAAATTGGCTGAAAAAAAACAAACAAAAACAAGCGCCTTTTCTAACTTGTCATTATGATCCGGATTACAAATTGTATCATTCTGGATCACAATCCAAAATTTGGATCCAAATTGAGTCATGTGATTACCAATCCGGTTGAGCAGAGTACTGCTGATTCTAGTATTTGATATCGTGGCGTCAAATCCTCTTTTGGTTTTCAACGCTTACTGGCCAAGGTATGCGCCTCCAAACTAGATGGAAGCTACCAAAAATTGGTGGGAGTGCATTTGACTATTTTACATTTTAGTGCGGCTCAAACAATTTATTTGAATCACTGCAGGAATGGCAAGAAAATACATTTGCAGAGGCAGTTTTGCGCTTCATTTTAAGCCTCACATTGTCCAAACTTTTTTTTTTTTTTTTTTTAAATGCGCTGGAACTAACATCCTAGCCATCATAGTCATATTAGCATACAGCTGATGTTGCGCCCTGAGGAATGAAAAGATGTGACTGAAGGGGACTTGGGATGCATAGCTCCATTCCTTCATTGTCCTCCTTTTGGAGCCCAACTCCATATGCCCTCCTCGCGGCAGGTGTCACGAGACAAACTCTGACCCCTGCGGGCTACTTTTTGTGAGCGAGGTTGTATTGTTGGCCGCAAGACTATTGAAGTCTAGACTACTAAAAGAATACAAGGGAGCTTTCGTCAAGTATTGTACACATTCTTCCTACTCTGACACAAGAGCATGCCCACACTAAACACGACATGTCTTAATATGAAACAAAAGGTCTAAAATCATTGTCCAAACAATCAGCGAAAAGACAAACGCGAGGACCGTTAATAAAAGCAGCACATAAGATTGTCATTAAATAACATTCTATTTATTGTTTTTTTTGTTTTAAATAGCCTCCTTTTTTTGTTCTACAGACATAAGTTAAAGGAAGATGTGGCAGAAGCAACATGTATAAACATTTTTTTTTTGTTAATTTAAAATACTGACATTAAAAACGCAACAGGAAGGAAAAGCTGAGGCGAAGTATGACATGAGTGAATGCACTTTCCCCGCCTTACAAGTGAACAATGCCCTCCACTTTGTATTTCAGCTAAAACTAAAAAAAACTAAAAATAAAAAAATAATAAAATAAAATAAAAACAGGATAACAGGATGCAAGAGGGGAAGATGTTATGTTAAAAGAACTGCTATTTGTGTGATATCGGGGAAACAAATGCATAGCATTTTGAATTTTAAAAAATATATAGAATCAGCTCATACAGCTGGCCAATGATGAAAAATTATTTTCATCTATTTTGGAGAAAATTCCAATGAATGCGATGAACACAAATGATTTACTTTGGTTTAAAAATCTTTGTGTAGGACTTTTTTTTCCCTTTCAATGACCAGCAGGGGTGTAACAGCATCATTTGACTATCTTCACACAACCTTTCGGAAACCAGAAACACAAAAGTTGGACAATTAATTGTCACTGGTATAAAAATAATAATAATAACAGCAGAGTGTCGAGGTGACAGGTCACACGCGACATGTTGCACATGTGGCCACACTCGCATTTACTATTAAAAGAATTATTGTATGGTTTAGAAAAAGTCAACTGTTTTGCTGGATAAAAGTCTTTCTTTTTTTTAAAGGAAAACTGTGTACATTTCAAGGCATCCAGGAGGACATGGAAGATATATTTTCTTACAGCCCCCTGCCCCCCATTCATTCAGATGAGTAAAAGAGTTAAAAAAAAAAAAAGAAGCCAGACTGGGACATTCACAAATGGGATATGACGTGTCCGATTTTTGTAACATGTTACGCTTGCATCTGAAGCAGAGCAGCACCAAAGTGAGAACCACCTACAGAAGCCTGAAGTCAAATAAGAATCCAGTGGTGCGACTTTCATCTATTCATCCATTCATTTAACCAGGCATGACCAATGGATGACAGAGGGTAGATTGGCATTTAGAAAAAAATAAAAAATAAACAGAAAAAAAACCTACACCGTAATCCGCGTATGATTCATTCTTTCCATTTTCAATTTGGGATCAAAAAATGAATTCCGGTAACCAAACTATATCCACACAGTTACTTGCGTATCACCTCACAATGGTTAAAAGAATAATAATTTAAAAATAAGGTGGTGTTGAAGTGATTTTCACAAAAGTCTACAAGCTCACATTGCGGTGTCCTGTGTGGACATGATTTGAAAATAATGCAATCAGAGAGACAAGCGTCAACGAAAGAATTCGGGCCCGACTTATTTAATGAATCAGCCCGTTTGAGCGCTTTTAAAAATCAACATTGGCCACAGTTTTGATGAATACATGTCGATATAGTCTTAATTTCTCATAAAATAGTAAATGCTGTTCAATGTTGTGCTAAGTTATTCGCAGTCTAAGCAATATCGTCTGTAGTTATGCTAAGCCTAGCCTAGCATTAGCTAACATCTTATAAGCCAGTCAGTAACTGCTTAAATAACACAGGGGTACAAAACATTTGACAGTTTAAAGTGTCTAATGCGTGTTAAGGTGCATTTAAAGAAGAGCGATAGGAAGGCAGAAGGGATGGAGTTCATTCAGTACTTGTCCTAAAAGCAAAAGTGGTTAACATGGTGGATATTGTACTGATTCGGACTGTTAGCGTTAGCGTATTTTTACGAATGCTTCTTACCAAACTTCTGGGTCATGAAAACCCCGCAAAATGATAAAAATAAAATTCTCTAAGTATTAATTTTTTTGTTTTTGGGGTCTGAGTATAAAATTGAAATATGAAAACCTGTGCATATTGTTGGATTTGGTGTTTAGTTAAAAAAAAAAGAAGAAAAAAAATCAGTCACACTTTCCTTTTCGATCACAAACTGAAAATGGAAAGAATGAATAACAAAGAGATCTTTTTTTATCTTTAGTAATGGAGCTAGCCAGGTGCCATGACGTGGCTTCGCTCTCCAAGCAGCAAAGTTATGGTTTTTCACTGTACGGCACACACTCACAGTCATCAGTTTGAGGGAGGGTATTGCTTTCATTAGAAGGTGATTCACCTTTACTCCTGCAACTCAAGTGCTGTGCTGTGTAACCACATCTACCAAAACAAACCAAAAAAAAAAAAATGTCAACAGAATGGTTTTCATTTACGATTGTTCAAAAACTGGTAAAAACAAACTCCGCGAAGGCAAACGTGACCACGAGGAAGAGTAAGGGTGTTTTCAGTGTGAAGGGTTTTTTTCCTTTTTTTTTTTGTTTTTTTTTGTTACGGTATGTGTTTGTGTCCGCTGCTCTCCTCATCCAGCGTGAGGTCGACCACCTCCGGCGGGGATACCCAACTGGACTGAGGTGAGACGCATGTCCACCTTTGTGGCGGGGGTTGTGTCGTCGTCATCGTCGTGTTGGCGGGAACCGATCGCTCCGCCGAGTGGTCGTCCTTCCACGACGATAAGCTCTTGATCACACCGCCGCAAGGGTGGGCGCATCTTTAACACACACAAAAAAAAAAAAAAAACTTTAGGGTGACCTGTGCACATTTGGATTTTCCTTTGGATTTGTTTTGGTGATTTCGCCACTCTTTCCTTCCTGGCTCGTTGCCAACACGCTTATTCAAAGTCGTGTGAGATTCAGTAAGATTAAAGAATGATCACTGCGAAGTTTAGAGGCAGATATTTTGCTTGGATTTTTTTTTTTTTTTTTTGGGGTCATAGAATTGAGTTATGGGATTAATGGTTTCAGCCCGACATTATTTACATCATACATTAACCCACCCTTTCAGGAACAGCGGTTACTACAGACGACAGCTTATCATGTTATCAGGTTACAGGGTGCATGAAAGTGTTAATTAAATCAAGTTTTTAACGGTGCAAACACTTTGACCGCCTTGGCATGATTGCCTGAGAGAACACTGTTTCCCACTAGAGGGTTAAAAAAAAAAAAAAAAACACACCACAAGTCAACTTGCGCGTGCTTACCGAGCGTTCTCCTGCACGCCCACAATCTCCACCTCACTGTCCGAGGACGCGATGCTGATCTGGACCTTGTGTTGACGGCCATCCTTGTGCGACATCTCCACCGCAGCGTGGCCTGAGGCAAAAAAAAAAACAAGAAAAAACAAAAACGAGCACAAATCATCACATTGTGGAGAGCAAAGGGGCAGGGCCTCAGGTCTTGGAGCTGCTGAAGACACAATGATGAGTCAAGGACACGTGAGTGTGCATGTGGGTAGTAAAAGGCAGCTGGTAAAAGGAAGAGTCACGCCAGACAAAAATCCTAATTGTGGACTTCGTTTACGGCACCCCCCCACCCTAACAACACCTTATTAAATTCTGCAGGGAGAAAGTACCAGAGAGGCAGCAGAGTGAGACGTCTTGCCAAGACGGACCCAAAGAAAGCTCAAAAGTCCAGTTTTGACTGAAGAGGAGGAGCAGGAGGAAGGAGAAAAAAAAAAAAAGTCCGCCGGGGGTTTGGAACTGACCTGCCACGGAGCTCAGAGCTCTTATACACCCGGAGCGAGGTGCCATATCCTGGCCTCTGAGTGTTTCTAGCTCGCGCTTTATCACGCTGGGCCGGACTTTCTCCACTTTCATACTCTCCTGGTTAGAATCAGTGTCTGAAATATCATAGTGACCCACTACTGGAGGCCCGTCTGCGGAGGACAGAGAGAACACTTCATTATTCAAAACATGGCTTGGAACAGAGGGATTTGGCTGCAATTAGTTGAAGACCCCACCGCCAAGAAAGACCGAATGACTTCAGCCTCCGCCAGTCTTTTTTTTTTTCTTTTTCTCATTGTTTTTTTCCATTAGGTGGCTCTGTAGTCAACAGTACCAACAATAAAATGGGTCGTAAAAGGGGTACAGTAGTATCAGAGCTGTACAAGAGCAAGGTCAGCTATTAAAAAAAAAAAAAAAAAAAAAAAAGGAAAAATCCCAACCTTTATTCGTGTTGCTATTCTGGATGAATGGTATTTTTTTTTTTTGTAATGTGCAATTTTTTTTGTCTTCTGTGGAAGCATCAGAGCTATAATGGCAGTGGAACAAAGACACGCGGTCTGTTATGCTTCCCTCCAGATACTGGCTGATAGCGGTCATTTAATTGATGAATGACGGGTGATCGCGGAAACCACCGGAACAATAAATATCTCGCTTTGCGGGGGTCCGAGCTCAGAGGAAAATAGATAAATGCTCTTTTTGCAATTTGCCTTTGCCAGAAACGCGGCGTTGTCATGTTTGCGTGACATAATACACCCTTGACAGTCGCTTTTTTTTTTTTTGGTTTTGTTTTTATTCGCATTTATTTCGCTTGAAATAACAGCCACTCACATAAAAACGACACTGGAATACAGTAGATACAAAACGCGTCCAAAGAATCTTTTTTTTTTTCCTCTCTTTTCTCAGATGAAAACCAAAACAGCAGCTGGGTAATAAAAGGCCAAACAAAACAAGAACATTTGTTCTACCCTGGAAATTGGACGCAACAAAAACAATACACCCTGCTGACGACTCTGTGTGTGCGTGTGTGTGTCTTGTGAAGAACCTCTGAATAGCTATCAGAGAAAGAAAAATTCTGCCAAGAAAAGGCCAGATAAGGAAAAAAAAAACCACATACTGCTATTGTCTCTTTGGCAGACAACAAAATGTCCTTCGTGGTATTTTAAATGCACAAGCGAGAGAAAACACACTCAATGCACACACTCTGGAAGAAGGGGGAGGGGGGGGGGAGTGCAACGCTGATGCGTCAGAAGCGATGCTAAACCTGGCACGCTGGCATGCTTCATGGTGGCAACTCTGCATTTCACATTCCACACTTAATAGAACTTGCATGCAAAACACCCGACACTGCCAAAAGAAAAAAAAAAAACATGCTCGCATCCGAGCTATAAATATGATTCCTTCATGCTGCTTTAAACCGTCACGTTAGGTCACCGGCGATCAAATGAGCCCTCGGATTAGTTTTAGGAGGTGGTAAACATTGTCATGCTCTGTCCTGCTGCCGGGAGGCATCAAGCCGTATTTAGGGCCATGCTGAAAACAAACGAGAAACATATACTATGAGAATGAAGGCGGAGAGCTACAGTACGAGAATAACGTGGAAATCATTCTGAGAGAAGTTGTAATCAAGGAGGAAAAAGTCGATTATCGCGAAGAAAAAAAAATGTCATCAAGACTTAAGTGCTCATTTTACAAGGTAAAGAAAAGCAGTGAGAAGACAGCAGTGCTTTTGAGAAGAAAGTCGTAATGGCGCATAACTAAAAGTAACATTCAAAGACAAGTCTGGAGAAAAGGTGGAAATATTGCATGGGGGGAAAAAAAAAGTTCTCGTCAGAAACGGAATTTTGGCAGCCTAAGGTCAAGTAAGACTGCTGTAATGTGACTTAAGTTGGACTTCATGAAAAAAAAAGAGCCCTGTTTTAATAGTGCAACAAAAGTCAGAACACCGTAATTTTGCAAGACCGTTGCCATATTGCAAGAATGTCATTTCACTGCACTAAAGTCTGAATTTAAAAGCGAAAGTAAAAATGAGGGGAAAAAAAGTCATAATATTGGCAGAAAAGGTTGTTCGACTAAAAGACGGCAATTTGGCCCACGGCGGCCGTAGTATCCTCGCTTGCGTCGAGTGGGAATCCTCTTCTCGCGCAATTACAACTTGATCATGGAAATCTTTCAATGCGAGACTCCCAATATCACAACTTCATTCTCGTAACGCTGCTATTTCGTCCTTGAGATTGATTTTATTTCATGTGGCCCTAATATTCGGTTGGTCTGCACTCTGTTCCAGTCACAAGTAAACGGTCCATTTCAGTCGAAACGTGTCCCTTTTAACAGCAAAGACCAAACTGACAAAAACAGCGCAAATAACAAAAAAATTAAAATAAATCATAAGAATTAAAAAGACAAAATTTGAGGCTTTTAGCACTGTGTCTTAAGATGAGACACTGTTAATATCAGTAGGGAGTACTCACATGTAGCTCTCTCCCCAGTTAACTGCACACCAAGGGCAGTAGTAGCAGCGACTATGACCCCCAATCCCCCCCAACTTAAAAAAACAAACAAACCCAAAAAAACAAGCAAAAACGTAAACGCCTCAAATCTAATAATACAAAAGTATAGTTGAAAAGGCAAAACGACTTGTGATTCAGTCTCCATTTGGATTTGCATGCGTCAAATCTGCGGCTGGTGGTTCGGAAAGCTCCGCCACGCCAATAAAGGGCCGTCACGAGACGTACGCACGCTGTAAACGTTATGAAAGGTTATATATATGAACACTACGAGGAGGCCGGCGGGACTGCTGAATGACAAGGCACCGTGCTATTCTGCTGCCGTTCCTCCCTGCCCGTGTGGATGAGAATATGGCGGCTGTGTGTTTTTTTTTTTTTTTTTGTAAGAATGCCACAATCGGCCGCGCCAGGGGGCATCTGGAGGGGAGAGGAAAACATACAGGTGGGCAAGGGGCCCAGAAACCTGCGTGTGTGTGTGTGTGTGTGTGGTTGTAGTTTCAAGACCCCGCCAAAATATGATTGCAGTGAAAGTTTGGGGTGTTTCGTAACAGTTCATGAGGTTTGACAGTGGTGCCTTGAAATACATGTGACAAGTGACTTCTGAGGGCCCCCCCCCCTGCAAAAAAAGAGGCATTAAGCGTTGTAATGTAATTCTGTCAAATAAGCATAAAAAACAAAACAAAACAATGACGTGTATTACAAACCACATAGCTTTCTTTGCCTTAAGTCTGACTGACTTGGCTCAATGCTAACAAAATACGCAAAACACCTTCGACAAGCGAATAAATAGCATCGGTGTTGTAACTTCTGTAAGCAACGGATATTTGAACATAAAACAGGGGAGCAAAGCTGTAACAGTACTCACAGGCAGATCCATTCTGTATCTTCTGCGAAAAATGAGTACGTTTACTGCAGCTTATTGAGGATTTGGGACCGGCTCCGTGTATTTGCACGACCTAATTACTGTCACAATCACGATCAATTAATCATGATGCCATTTTGTTTTCTTCACATTTCATGACATTTTCATTGTACCTATTTATTAAGTGCAATATTTTTGAGAGCCATCTTTCCTCCTTAAAAAGTGGCATTTTTTAAAAAAATTCATTTAATTGGGGGAAGACGATTTGAGATTTGAGTAAAGGTACGAGCGTGACCGCAAAAAGTGCACTCATGTTTTTAACGGCGCCACTGTAGTCCGAAGTCTCACAGTATGTAGCGGCTATATTTTTTCGAAGAATGACACCATCGGCTAGTTTGAGAAAAAGGGGGAAATACACACAGGAAGCCATTGCGCCTTTTTGGGGAGCTGCTTTTATGGAAACAAAAAAACAAAAAAACAAAAAAAAAATAGTAATAATGATACATCAAAAGTAGATCGAGTGTTTTGGTGGGGAAACAAGAGTAGCCCTGACTCGGCAATTTACGGCGGGATGCACAAGGTCCGTGCAGATTTGCAAATATTCCCAAGTCTCACAGTGATTCAATGCCAGCAGGAAATGCCGTGGTCATCCGGGCGTGTAGTACTGCCGTGATACTAACTTCCACGCGGGTGAAATCACAGTTCGAAGTTGCGTCTAAACATTCAAGAGACCAGGATCCGCGACGCCCAGGTTTCCATTCTGAGTGACCGCTTCAGGTAGGATGTTGTTGTTGTTGTTGACGGGAGCGTCGGCGGCGGGGTTGTTGCCGCTCGCGCGCGCCAACATGTAGGCGGCCATCGTTTCCGCGGACTCGGACGACGGCAAGAAAGAACTAGCGGGCGAAGGTCGGGCTCCCTGGGGCGGCGGCGGGTTCTGCTGCTGCCCGCCCTCGGGGGCGTCGCTCGAGCGCTTGGACGAGTCGTCCGAGTCGAGGTGCGCGAGCTTTTCCATCCAGACGCGGAAGCGCTCTTCGGTCTGGCGCTGCATGACGGCGAAGCGCGTCATGGCCTCCTCCAGCACGCTGCTGATGCCGTTCCTGTCCCACGCGCCGCTGTCCAGCAGCCCGTGAATGTGGGCGCCCACTCTGGATCTCTCCGACGCACGTCTGAAGCCAGCTTGAAAGACATTGAGGCCAAGGCTTAAGAACAGACAGTGGTAGTGGATTCATGCTTCCTGAGTGGATTTTTTTTTTTTAAAATTCAAGAGAGAATGACACTTCGCTTTCTTGTTTTACGTGCAGATCAGAACTTTCATGCTGATGGACTACATCATGCAGTCGGTGTTTGAAGATGTTGAAAAATACTGAAATGGTTGACGTCTTCCCTTCCTGCGGATCATTGATGGTTGGGCTTTGGGGGACCGTTTTGCGGCCTACGCGCTAATCTGTGAGACTCGGGACGCAAACAGAGAACCGTCTACTATTTACGAGCTGGAATTGCAAAGATGACGCAAGGTTAGAAGAGGACGAAACAGCTGTTTGGATGAGGAAAATAAAACAAAACAAATGGTGTCACATATCACATGCCAAGTTTCCAAGATCACTCAAGAACCAACGTTGACATAATTGGAGCGGAAAGTGATCACGAGTGACCCAAAACCAGTTATCTAGACTTCCAGAGCTAGTCTTATCTCGGATCTATGGAAATAAAAAAAACCATCCAAGAGTAAAAGCACAACTCCATACCATATTTTTCATACACTGCAGTCCACAGGTAAAAACTGTATTTCCTCCAATAGTGGCCTCTGCCCCGATAGAATAAAGCGTCGCACGCCAAGAGGACAACTTCTTTATAAAAAAATAAATAAATTGGCGATGCCACTTTTCATGTCGTGGTTGATCTTCACCACCACAAAACACTGAGGCAGACGTGGCATCAGTAAAGATGAAGCTGAGGGTGGAGTTTCAAGAGAAAGAGCCACAGTACAGGCACACAACATGACTGACTGAGAGGAGAAGCAGGGTTCAAGGAGGAACCAATGGCACCTTGATCATGATGGTTAAAAAATAAATACATTTAAAAAAAAAACATTAAAACCAAGGATTGCAAAAAAAAAACTGGTTTTGTAGAGCGTCATTCCGGCCCGTGTTGTACTGTCGTTGTGTTGAATGTGTATCTTTAAGGGGCGTGGCCTCGTGAGTCATGTCAAGAGCTTGAGTTGAGTTCAGTGTACTGTATACGCTATTTCGACAAGTCTACTCACCGGAGGTTGGTTTCCAAAACCAGAGGGAGCAAATGAAGCAATGCGCAAAATACGTCTATGGTCGGTGCGCCCCAAAAAAACGGGCCGACGCAAGAAAACTGTTTTATCATTGGAAAAACTACGACCACCCAAGTATGAAAATGCCAGCAGAGTCTCCACACGGAGCATTAGCAATTTTCGCCATTATTAACGAGCAGCGCAGCCATCGGACCCAAGCGGCAACATATCGTGTCGACTTTTGAACATTTACATTCCGCTGCCGTCGGGGTGGAACCTCCTTTGTCACAATTTGGTGAAAATTCATCTTTCATATTTTCGGTCAGACCACACATGCGCGTGCTATTTTTTTACAACTAGCTGGCCAACCTCGTCGGGTTGAAAACGGCTTGCTCTCTTTGATGATGCACTGTGACTTGTGGAACAAACATTGAACCGCGTGTTTAGTCGCTCAGCAACTGTAATTAAAGTAGATAAACCGTCTCTTGTTAATTTATGCTTCATTTTCCTCCATTTTAGATCGATGTGTGAATGGGAAGACGACCTTGGAAAAATAATAGCATATCAAATTGCAATATTGAGAGGAGAAAAAAAAACAAAACCCGCAACTGGGTTATTTTTGAAAATTGTCCAGCACAATTTCTAAGTCAAGGTCATGCTTTACAGTAGATGTGAAATATGCATTTCATCGCTTACCCGCCATGCAAATAAACACCTTTGTCATGAACAGACACCTCTCAACACGAGAAAATAAAGCCAACGCTGCGACGACATGACGAATTACGGGAAATTTGGAAGGAGTATAATGTACACAAAAGAATAAGAGGAGAAAAAAAAAAAAAAAGAAAATATATATGACACGGTATAACAGGCCACCTTTGGCTAAGCCTCGTATACACCAATAGCGTGACCTTTAAATGAATCTATTAACACCTTTCCACCTGCACGCTGAGGCCAAACAAGGCGTCTGGGGCTCAGACTCGCTTCGCGTTGAGCTAACACAAGCAAGTGGCATCTATTTACAGCAAACGGCCCGCTCGCTCGACTGCGGCTCGCATACGACGTGGATGACAACTGTTGCTTCCAACAAATTAAGACCCTGTGAGGTGTAGACGCAGCATGCACGGCGCGCGTTTTGACCGCCGGTGGTCCGACAGTAACACTGACAGAGGACAAATGGATGGCCACAACTTTCTAGCGGGGAGACTCGATGACATGATGTGAGTGAGGAAAAACAACAGGTGACTGATCAAATGAAAAAGATAAAGCTTGGGTTTGACACGACCAAAACTTTTCGATGAACCCAGTGACATGTTTTCACTAGTTATGGCATATGAGAAATGTTACATCATGCACTGCTCTACGGGATAGGTTCAATTTAAAAGTCCTTTTCAGGGACTTTAAAGCTGAACTGTGGCCATTGAGCACAAAGATTTGCCCAACCCTGAGAAAAGCTCTCCCGGCGGGGAGGCAGATTTACCTGGAATATCGGTCTTGATTGTCTTGCTGCCTCCGGAAGTGTCGTCGTCGTCGTCGTCAGAGGAGCTGGTGCTGGAATCGCACGTGAGCTCGCTGTCGCTGGTACTGCTGTCCTGCAGCAGGTTGTACTTCTTCCGTGCCGCCGCCTCACGCTTCTGACGCAGCAGGCGCATGCGCTCCTTGTGTTTCTGGCTGCGGTGGCCTTTCACCTTGGCTTGCTTGCCATTGAGCTGCTTCTCGGGCCCACTCGCTCCCGCGGGCTGACAGCGGTTCTTTTTTGCCGCCATTGCATTGGGCGGCGCCTCGCTCTCCGAACGCGATCGTCTGGATTTCCTCCCACTGGTTTGCCGATCTACTTCCTTGGCGGGGTCCGCTTCCATTTTAGTTTCCGTCTCCTCTCCGGCACCTTCAGCACATGAGGAAAGTGTGTCCGAGTCTGCCAAGTGGCCGCTCGATGAGGGGGAGAGCATGCACGGGTTGGAGGAGTCGCTTTCATAGATGTGACGAGAGGCCGGTTTCTCGCTCCCCGTGGAGGCCTGCTGCGACTCGGGCGAGTCTCTGCGGAGCTCCTTCATCAAACAGGGCATGGAGAGGAGACTCTGCTCACCCTCCGTGTACAAGGGGCTGTCATCCTCCTTTTCCCTTGCTGGGGAGCTGGTACTCGTGGTGGTCTCGGTTTTTAGATGTTCATCTTGGACAGACGTGGTGGCTGATTGTGCTTCGTCGAGGCGCTCAGAGGGACACTCTGCATCAACAAATTCCTCTGCCTTCTCCGAATCAGCCATCTTCATGCTCGTTCCAACAAATGTGGACCAAGGTGCCTTGACAGGCACTCACCTACAGAGGAAAAAGAGGATGCGTCATCAATATCAACGATGTGCTACAACAACAAATTATAAATCAAGCAATTAGAAGTGAAGGCATTTTATTGTGTACATTTTCACAAATCACAGTTGAGCAACTTCTATAGTAACGTTCAAGGATGCTTAAGAACTTTTAACTGCTAGCGGTTGTTTAAAAATTTAAAGTGTGTTAGCAGAGTAGTCAACATAAAGTACAAGTGCCCAACCAAGGCTAAAGAGTTGTTTGGAAAAAAAAAAAAGTACGTTTTGTAGCACTCTAAACAACAACTCATTTCATCAGAAGTCATGCACTGACTTCTAACGGTAGAAACGAAATTTAATTTGGGTTTTGAAATTCTCATGAGCCGCCGGCATGTCAATCAGTCTCGGTGTATATTTGTAAATGCCCACAAAATCTTCCCATGGCCACATTAAGCCGGGCGAGCAACCCAAGACGTCAACGTGTGCCAGAATGAATGACTTAGCTAGTTGCTGCCTGTGGCTCGCTCGGCAGTTAGCCAACCAACCAACTGAAGCTAACGATGGCTAGCTAGAAGCTACGCAACGAAAGCTAAGCACGGTTCCGAAGCTGCACAATAATTTGGCAAATGAAAAAATAAATCACCGAAGAATATTCAGCGTGCGATGCCACTGCACACGTAACAGCTGCGACATCAAATGCAACAGAGGCATTCCAGGCGAGACCCAAGATGCAGCCAACTTAGCTCAGACAAGCTAACTTAGCAGTCAACTGCGACAGTTACTTACCACGGTGTTAACGAGCTCCTTTCCCCGGCGCCAGACTCCTCAACATCTTCGTGCGTTTATTCCCCGCAAAGCGCCGTTCGTTAAACCGTAAAAAACCTGACAAACCTTGGGTATGAATGTATTTTGTGGCGCAGCGCGCTCGCCCCTTCGCGAGCGCTTTGGTGGTGTAGCATTTAGCCGTTAGCTAAATGTTTATTTTAAAATGTCTGCGTCGGCCTTACAAAGCAGAAACGTCACTTCCAGGTCGCTGGTGGGGAACGAGCGTCCTCGTGTGTGTGGAGGTACACACTGCACAAATTGTGGCCATAATTTGTTCTCAAGATTTTAAAGACAAGTGTGATCATCAGGAATGAACATTGTAGATATAAGCCTCTTTCTGACTACTTGGTCTGACATTTTTGTAGCACTCTAAACAACAACTCATTTCATCAGAAGTCATGCACTGACTTCTAACGGTAGAAACGAAATTTAATTTGGGTTTTGAAATTCTCATGAGCCGCCGGCATGTCAATCAGTCTCGGTGTATATTTGTAAATGCCCACAAAATCTTCCCATGGCCACATTAAGCCGGGCGAGCAACCCAAGACGTCAACGTGTGCCAGAATGAATGACTTAGCTAGTTGCTGCCTGTGGCTCGCTCGGCAGTTAGCCAACCAACCAACTGAAGCTAACGATGGCTAGCTAGAAGCTACGCAACGAAAGCTAAGCACGGTTCCGAAGCTGCACAATAATTTGGCAAATGAAAAAATAAATCACCGAAGAATATTCAGCGTGCGATGCCACTGCACACGTAACAGCTGCGACATCAAATGCAACAGAGGCATTCCAGGCGAGACCCAAGATGCAGCCAACTTAGCTCAGACAAGCTAACTTAGCAGTCAACTGCGACAGTTACTTACCACGGTGTTAACGAGCTCCTTTCCCCGGCGCCAGACTCCTCAACATCTTCGTGCGTTTATTCCCCGCAAAGCGCCGTTCGTTAAACCGTAAAAAACCTGACAAACCTTGGGTATGAATGTATTTTGTGGCGCAGCGCGCTCGCCCCTTCGCGAGCGCTTTGGTGGTGTAGCATTTAGCCGTTAGCTAAATGTTTATTTTAAAATGTCTGCGTCGGCCTTACAAAGCAGAAACGTCACTTCCAGGTCGCTGGTGGGGAACGAGCGTCCTCGTGTGTGTGGAGGTACACACTGCACAAATTGTGGCCATAATTTGTTCTCAAGATTTTAAAGACAAGTGTGATCATCAGGAATGAACATTGTAGATATAAGCCTCTTTCTGACTACTTGGTCTGACATTTTTAATGACAGGAATTTTCATTCAAGATATCTGTAACGTTACATTACGTTACATTCCAGACAGAGTCAGAAGGGGCTGCATTTTGTGTCCTTTATAGATCTGCTCAGCTGCAGTAAACATTTTTATTTTCAAAAACTAATCGTGGGCCATGGTGACCCTCTAACGAAAGAGGCCGACAGCAAAAGGAAACATCTATAACTTGAATAACGATGAGTGAGACGCGTGTTCACGACGTATAAACCCCCGCTACACGGTTATCAGTCTTTGCACATTTCCCCCCAGTGATTATTTCAAAACAAAACCTCTGAATTCACAAAACAGGACTTTCTATCTATCTGAACACACGTCTGTTGCCGGGCATCTGTCGGCCTTCACTGACCGACATCGCCCCCAAGCCGGCCAAATGTTGTACCGCATCCGTGGCTGGAGGACTCTGCTCTCCCGTCCCCATAGAGACAAGCTCCGACAACCGTTTTACTCCACCCACCCTCAGCAGCACTGGCAGCAGCGATGCCAGCGAATTTGAATTAGCGTTTGGACATTACTCGTGCTTTTCCCTCGAATGCCGACCTCGCGTGGTTTGCCAAACGGATTTGGTTTCATTTATTACCGTGGGATTAACCGGCGTTATCCTGAGAGGCCGGAGAGATTTGTGCCGCGCGGGGCGGGGAGGAGAGCTCGGAGGAGTCTTTGGTCTCCTCCGTTATCTCGCCACTTGCCCAGCCAGCCTGTACGCTCCTGTAACAACCCAAGACGCAAACACGAAAGGGGATGGAGCCAATGTGCCCGTAAAGGTGAGCTTCGTCTTCCTTCGTGGGGGCTTGAAGTGTCGATCATTAGCCGCCTTTCACCGGTCAACCTGTCTGGAGACGGCTAATGACAGCAGCATGCTAAGTGCTCTGCATTTGGAACGGAAGCTAATAAACCCACAATACATTTTCATTTTGTAATGGTGTCAATTTTCCTCTGAATGAAATGAAAGCACCAGCAGCTGGACGTAGTCTGAAAAATCCTGTACATTTTTTCGTAACTTTGATGCATTTTTTTACAACACCGGGCAGGCCTTTACATGTGGGTTCTGATTACGTCACGCCGTCATATGCATACAGTAGATATTAATTTATTAGCCACTATTTATATTCTGTTATTAAATTATTATTTATTCGATCCGGTGTTGTTAGGACGTGTTTTAGCACATCCACATCATGAATTTTGATCCAATTACTGTAAAAATGCAAACTTAAAATAAGCATCCGTGTACTTTCAAGGATAATTGTTTCCAAATAGCCGAAAGTTGGGTAATCTACATGTCTCTAATTAAGAGTTTTAAAAAATGTTTTGCTCTGTTCTACAATTCAAAATGTGAAGAAAATCTGAGGTATGAATGGAAAATTTTGGGTTGGTTTTACAGATGGATTTATATGAGTGACACACTGGATTGGATGTTAAAACCATAATTAAATTCTTAGTGTATTTATTTCTTTATTTTACTGAAAAGTTAGCACATTCATCTACAGTTAAAAGGTCGGGGCTCAAATCTTCCTGTGTAGAGTGTAAATGTTCTCCCCGTGCTTGCGTGGGTTTTCTGCAAGTCTTCTGGCTTCTTTTCACATTTCAAAAACATGCGCGCTAGGTCAATTGCAGACTCAAAATTATCCTTCTTATGAATGTGAATGCTTGTTTGTCTGTACGTGTCCTGTGATTGGGTGACGACCTGTCCAGGTTGTACGATCTGTCTCGCCCAAAGTCAACTGGGATAGGCTCCGGTTGACCTACAACCCTAATGGGGGTAAGCGGTATAGAAAATGGCTGGATGGATGGTGAATTTGTTCAAACTATTGCAAATAAAATGTGTGCATATTGTAGCCTTTTATTGCGTTGGTTACAGGCAGCCAAAGTTGAGAATAGCATTTAAAGAGAATCTGTCAAAATACGGAGTGTGGTTAGAATGGCCACTTCAAACTGAAAACTGCTCAACAATAATTTGGAAAATTGGATGATGGGTTCCGCAAAAATCGATTTTTTTTCTGTGTGTGATTTTTTTTTGTGTGTGTGGAAAAAAGATGGTGACTTAAAAGAGTCTGACAACTCAAGTTCCCCACTTCCACCACCCCCATGCGTTTTCTTATTGTTTCATCAATCTATGTACATTGCTTCTTGCAACCAAGTACAAAACAAAAAACAATTGAACTGTATGTGTTTTTGTTTCAGCATGGACGCGGAGGTGAGTGCCGGGCAGGGGTGCAGCACCAGAAGGAGAGCAGCGGAGGATGGCCATGTAGGAAGAGAAGGAGACTTGGAAGTTTTGGTGGTACCACAGGATCTGTACGACTCTGCCAGGGCCAAAATAGAAGCAAATCTCAGATGGCTGCTGGCCAAAGCTTATGGAGTTGGTAAGACATCCTCTTGTTCTTTTGCCGCTCAGGCTTTTTACACTCACAAGGGCATGCAAGTGAATGTAATATTTTGCAATTTAGTGAATCATAAGACATGGCCGTTTGAACCGGGCAAATAGTCTTGACTCCGCTTGGCCAGTATGCTGCGGAGCTCTTCAGTTAAGTGAATGGCCCACCACTTTGTAGTGAAAAATAACTTTGATCAGCTTTCAAATATCCGCCAGCCATCCATTTTCTAGACTTTATTAGGGTAGGAATTTGGGTTAGTTACCGTTCAACTGTAGGGCACATATAGACCGAAAAATTAATTCACACTGATATTCATTGCCTATAAACAATTTAGAGTCTGCCATAAACTTAAGATGCCCTTTAGCGAGAGACAGACATTGGGCTGGTTGAATCGCAGGGCACATAAAGATGAATATGTATAGTGTTCGAAACATTTTTTGTACTCTCTCTTTGAAGTCCATCGTGAATATCAGCTTTACAGATGTACCGGCAAAAAAAAACGTCTATGAAAGATCATTGCAAACACACAAGAAAGTAAATTTGAATCCACTGCGAACAAAGCCACTGTACACGCTTCATCCTGTGGGCAGACATTCACGCTCGCCTCTCATGACGTGCCAAAGGCTTTTATACACAGGTCACTAGCCTCGCCAGCGCCACTCCCTGCGCTAAAACTGCTCCACATCGCCAGGCTCGTGTGTGGAAACTACCCCTTCACTTTGAAGTGGGTTTTTGTGTCACTCTATGTGACTACACTGAAAGGGGAGGGGGGTGGGGGAGAGCTTCAAGTCAATCCTCGCTCTTTGTAAAAAAAATAATAAAACTCACACTGACTGTGCAAGTGTTTGCTGGGACTCTATGCAACCCTGCGTCATCCATCTGACGCTAGCTTTACCACAGATTATTTGGCATTCGGAATCACTTGTTGTGCAAATGGTCACATTCCATCTGAGGGCCCACTCCCGTGTGCCAGGGCGTCGATCCCTAATGAACAGCAACCCCTGCTGAGCATCCCTTAATCTGATTGGTTCGTCCTGACGTCAGCTGTGTCGGCAGCGCAGAGGAACCACTTCGCTTGTTTTCCTTCTCCGCTCGCCCGATCGATTGAGTGTGTCAAAAGGTGTCTGTCGGAACCCAGCAGCAGCTGTGACACGCACAATATTTCTACTGTTGATGACGCTCTTGGTTGGATGAGCAAAACAGTTTACCATCGTGACTCCAATCAACTCTTGTTTCTGTGACCTGAGCGAAATCCTCAAATGAGATGAAATAATGTCAATGCAACGGTGTTTTTTTTTTTTTAAACACACATTCCCCGCTGACATTTAGTGAGAGCGTGTGTGCCAAGGCCCAAACACTCATTAGATTAAGGAGCAATTCTGCACTGGTGAGAGTGTCACATGCTTAAGTGATTAATGGCATTGAAGGTGAAGACACACACTCGCCTGATCAGCCAAACATTAGTCTTACATTTCAAATGTATTCAGCGTACGCTCAGTTCATCCTCCTCACAGC